GAGCGGCCAGCGGCGACGCTGACCCGGTTCCAAGCGCAGCGCACCGCGCGCGTTTATTGTTGTTTCAAGCGCGGGAAATCCAGCCTGCTACGCCGCCCCCTGCTCCACCCCCACTACGCCTCCCCCGCAGCAGCCGTGGCGCGGTCTCATCACATGTGGCCGAAACATGAAATGGCATCGAATTAAATTACCAAGTTCTACCTAGGAGGTTTCGAGAAATTGTTCATAAAACTTGAAATACGCGGCCATTCCCACTGAATCCTTTCTTATTTCAAAACATAATGACTCTCTTTATGCCGGGACAAAACGTGTGAACGGAACGCTCGTTAATTTTACTAAAGCAGGTTGCCGCTAATAGATATACACGCTCATAATCAATTTTTCGTAGCACAAGATTTCGCAACACAATAGCGTCACGCAGCCAAATTTTTCTTTAACTGAAGAAGCTGAATTTTATCTATAAATTTGCAGGTATTACTTGTGTTATATATAACATTTATGCTAGATATCTTTTACATCTTATTACATTGTATATAAATTATCATCTATAATTAATTAATATATTTTTTGTTTTACTTACTACCATCTACGTTTGAATAATAGAGTAAACATTATTTTGCAACATATTCTTTATAAATACTGAAAACCATATCCTACTATCTCCTCTGGCGATGTAAGAGCACTGACCGCCTACTCCTAACTTTAAACTTCCACAGCCCCCAGAAGATACAGGGATTAGCTTTGTACTTTCAAACAATCCTGTTTCAAGAGGGGTGATCGGAAGTACCCCAAAATAAACTTTTGTTTTTGAGCTTTTGTCCACGTTTTCGCCCACTGATCTCCCCGCGCGTCGTCACCGCAGCCGCCGCCCGGCCGCTATCTCCATCGCCGTCCCACCGCTGCGAAACAAAAGCACGCCTTTCTCTCGGCGCGGCGCCGGCAGTCGTGTGCCTGGCATCGAACACTGCGCACGCGCTCGGGCAGTGAGGAGTCGTCGAGGCGGGAGAAGCCTTCGGGCACCGGCGCGGAAGCACTACCACGTAAGAACGTGTTTACTCCTTGCTGCGGAAAGGGGCTTTTGCTGCCCAAGTAGCCTTTCATTCATTATTACTCCGGCATTCAGTCGCGCTTAACGTTTAGAAAACAAGATTAGTGTTTTAAGTTGTTGAAAAATATCTGTACTCTGAACTTAAACATTTCGGATGTGAATTGTATCACATTTAACTTTTATATATCAAGGTATACAATATACTGAACGAAAGGTGTTAGTATGTCAACATATTTTAGTTGAATAAATTTAATCCAATGTTAATCTTTCTTCAAGGCTGAAGAATCCAATTTGTAATTCAATTGTTTGGCAAATAATCTACGAAGTCTCCACCCTCAATTTCTAAAAAAAATATTTAAAAGAGGAATTTCTCACAGATGGATGTCTTTTGTGAGCAGTAAACAATTAGGCGTGTAGTTTTAAGTTTCATAAGCATAAAAAAGAAAGTGCATAATTTCATCTATACATCTTGCGAATAACATTCATCGTGGCTTTAGGAGAATCAGTAAAAGAAGGCAGTAATACAATTTTTGCATCAGAGTAATAAGGAAAGACGAACCTCCATCAATTGTAGATGAATAGAATTGTTCCATAAGACAAATTCGCAACAAATAAAAGAAGTGGCGAAATATGTTTGCATAAAATCAAGAAGGGTAACTTTAAATTACATATTAGTTCCATGAAACGTACATAAAAGTAAATTATAATTTCGATTGAAAATACAATCCTACATTTAATTCATTTTATTTTTTTAATAATTATTTTTGATGACATGATTGCAAGCTTATGCTCGATTATAATCTTACAAGAAAGTACACTTATTTTATTTATGAAATTCTCATTCTATTTCTTCCCTTTCTTCTTCTTCTTCTTCTTCTTCTTCTTATTATTATTATTATTATTATTATTATTATTATTATTATTATTATTATTATAGAGTGTGAATTTTTTAAAGTTAATTCTACATTCTGCATGGATTTAAAATTAAAGCGCAATTGTTATAATGGAGAAGAGTGTAAGCAAACTACCCGTAACTTTCACACAAGTCAAGATCGCGTGTGAGATAGCTTGTTAGAGTTCGCGAGCACAGCATCCGGAGCAACAGCGCGAGATTTAAAAGTAATGGTTGTAATAATTGCTTCGGGGAGCGGGTACATCGCTGAATCCTTGACACTCTTTTGGAAAATTCACTGGACAGGTATTGGCAAACATTTAGTAATAATTGTTATTAGCGTTAATAGCTAAGGTAAATATTCCCGTAATTGGAGTGCATATTTTTTCTCGGAGTGGGTGGGGGCGGTGATCTTCCCCCGCTGGATGGCGAATTCAGGCGCCGACCTCCACGTCTACTTGCGGGGTTTTCCTTCGACTAGGCATTTCCCGCCAATGGGGCACTGCTCTAAGTTCCGACTGGCCTCTTAGCATGTGTGACAGTGAAGTGCATGTAAGTGTAAGTGTACGCAAGTGAGGAGTGATGATAGAACAAGGAAGAGGAAAAAGGAACAAACGCGTACGGTCCGTGGTCTGTTTGTTAGGGTCCTGCACTGGCGTTCGCTATCTAGCGCTACCTCGCGACACACTAGCTATCTAAAAAATAAAATAATAAAAAACACGCTATGTAGCTAGTGCCGGAAATCCCGCCACCGCCGGGACTCGAATCCAAGAACCTCCCGGTCAGAGGCCCTGCAGGGACATCAACACACGCCCTGAGCCACCTAAGCCCTTTGCGATATTTGTTATAATAATTCAATACAATGCACAAATTGTTCCATATTAATTAACCTTTTATTTGCCGTAGTCCATAGACGTTTTTGTACATGACATTACATAACGAAAAATACATCAACGACATTGCTACCCGTTACCGACTTTACGACCATCTTTCCTCTCCACGTCCTACAAAATCTGCAGCATAAAGAATTAACAAAACAATACACAAATCGAAAACGGGCAATACATTTTGCAATCAAACATAATCCTGCCCTTAAGAAATGATGTATTAGAATTAAAAAAGAAATTAATCATGAAATAACTTAATAAATATATTTTTAAACAAAAGTCAATTCTCCGTTGTTTTTTTATAGAAAACATGTGAACGTGATGTTATTTCGCGTGAACGATTTCGCAAGAATTTTTCGTGATCTTTGGAGCACGCTTTGCGCTTATCTCACCAGCTACGGCTTGGGCGTGCTCACCCCTTTCTGGGTTTGGGGGGAAATGAGAGCGAGTGTAGAGAGATTGCCCATGGCCCACATGGACGCCGGGCTCCCCAGGCTCACAAGGAGCTCGCGCGGGCGACTTGTAGATTCAAAAGAGAAAACAACTGCTGTCAATGTTGAGAGAAGGCAGAATACTTTGAGTTATTCGGATTCTGGCGCGGGTCCACGGGGAGGGAAATCCCCGCAAGATTGCTTATCATTATTCAATACAATGTGGTTCTTTAGTAACCACATTTACCTTGCTTCAGCCAGAAATTAATGTTGGTACATTATGCGAAAAAAATAGGAAACCTACAAAATATTTAGCGAATACACAGACCCTACTCTGTAGTAATGATTATACACACAAGTTAAAATTTAAAAGCAATTGCATTTTAAACAACTTCATTTTCTATAAAGAAAAGATTATTTCAAAAACAGGAATTAATATTAGCGATGATAAAGCGAATTTCTATACTACGAAACACAATGCGATAGGGAATCACTGTGAACTTGCTACAAAGTCACGTGGCTCTTTTCGAAGTACTGAAGGCAGCGTTTCCGCTTCCGTTGAAGTTATCTTTGGTTTTGTGTGTCATTTTACTGCATTAAATTGTTTCGTTATTGAAACACGTTCCTTTTGGATAAATGGAAATTACATACTTGTTGAATAAATCGTTTATTTAATTTTTACTCTTTTGATTCCTTCATCTGAGAAAAATTGTTTTCCTATTGAAAATATTTTAAACAATACAACAGCAAAATGATGAAAGTTTCCCATCGAAAGAGCCCGAAACCTTACAAAATAAATACAGTGGTAGTGGCTGCGATAGACACAGAGTGAAGTGGAAATAAAAGCGATAAAATATTGAGTATTTCTGTTTATACTAGGTGTCGCAACATAAACATTACAAACTTTATACAGTTTGTAGCGGAGCCGGTCATTATTTGCCAATGGATATGTACTGAGAAATCCCCACATTAAGAAGTTACACGTATGACATTTGCCCTTCATCGTGCTTGTGGTAATGAGGTTTATCGTAAGTTATCGTGCACTGGACTTCGGCAGGAAGATTTAGTCTACCTGCCTAATATTAGACAAATAGGAGTTACCTACCAATCAGGAGCAAATGTCCCATGCATAAGTTCGTTGATTAATTGATTAGTGATTTCGGGCGGGACGGAACTTCTAAGGACATTAGTCCCGAAAGTGTAGTGCATGTTTCATGGCGGGGGTTGGCAGTGACCTTCCCTCGCTGGATGGCGAGATCCAGCGCTGACCTCCCCGTCGGCTTGCAAGGTTTTCCCTGACTAGGTACCTCCCATTAGCGGGGCCCGACGTAGCCCGGGGAAGCTCTAAGCTCCCGACTGGTCTCGCGACATATGTGGTAGTGTAGTGTAGTGCGTGCGTGCGTGTGTGTGTAAGTAAGAGGTGAAGATACGACAAGGAAAGGGAAGAAAAGGTGGCGAGCGGTCTGTAGTCCGTTTGGTAGTGTGTTAGCATTCGCCTGGTGTTGATCGCAGAAATCACGGAAAAATTCCGATCAGAGCAGCCGGCCGCTAGAATTGTCCTCCAGACAGCGGCTGAATTCGTGTTAGCTACGAAACTAGTGTCGAAAATCCTGCCACCGTCGGGACTCAAACTCTAGGACTCCCCAGTCGGAGGCACTGCAGTGTCGTCAAGAGATGCCTTGGGCCACCTAAGCCGTTATGAGTATGTTCCAACACCTACATACCCCCCAACGTTGTCACGTTTATTCTCATACATCCTGCGTACGGGAACCTACAACAACCCTAGTGCACATTGCCACGAGTGTGTTGGCCTTGCAGATGCGCCCAATGCAGTCAGCGAAGAATTTGGCAGTGCACGTACGATCCAATGCCCATGCAACGCCATGGAACGCCTTAAAGGCGCAATTACTACACGAGCATTCCTGATTTCGGGAGTAGCGCTCGCAGACACTACTGCTACCCAGCAAACAATTCCACTCCATTTCAAAGCCGATTAACGTGTCGTCTCTACAAGCACCGGGCCTCTCTCCACCAACCTCACTGTGTCTACAATGTCCCTTATTTGCTTTGCGCTTTGTGACTTAAAGCTGCCAAAATGCGTATTAAACACTCTTCTTACTTTAGCATTAAAGTATAATATATGAAGGAAGTGTTTGAGTAAAACTAACGAGATAAGGCCTGATTAGTTCAGGCTTGTTTTCTGACGTTTCCGAGGATACTGGGGATTGAGATGGCGTGGTGGTCGAGTTCAAAGTAGCATACGCTCGTCTTATGTAACAATCTATTAATAACGATCATTAATTGGGTAGTTGTTATATAATTTAATCTATGATTATATTGAAAAAAATCTGTATACAAATTAACCATGAATAATTGAGGAGGAAGTAAGAAGAAGGGTCTATACACCAAAACTGTGTTTTGAGAAAAACGCATTGCAAGTTTTCGATCGTAGCATTCTACACAATGGTCTATTTATATGCAAATTACATATTATTTTAATATAATTATTTTGAAACTTAATTCAATTTATAACATAACTAAATTCTCCTTAATTTCAAACACATGCCCTAAAGGAAAAAACCGTTCTGGGCCCTTCTTCTGGAGAACACTTTATATTTGTTATTAAAATGGTAAAAATTATAATTATTAACTTTTAATTTGATTTTATTATAAACTGCTAACACGTCATACTGTGGTTTTGTTACCTTTTTTTACCACACTGTTCATCTTGTGAGCGATAAAATTCGGACTCACTTTTGTCAATTTTCAGTGGACATCTATT